TGGGGGACGGGGGGGCGGGGCAGGGAAAGAGACAGAGAGATGGAACCGCCTGGGCACCGTCCAAGCTGGTGGCTGAGTGTTCTGCTGTGTAGCATCTGGTTTAATTCCAAGACTGTGGGGCTGGGGGGCTGACTGTGGCATTGAACTCCACGAACACAGCTGAGCTCTTGCCAGTTCCCTGCAGTGCCCTGAAGCCCTGGCCAGCCCAGCCCAGCCCAGCCCAGCCCCGCCCCGCCCCGCCGAGTCTAGCTTAGCTACCTGCTGTGACTCTGAGGCTAAGTGTGTTTTAAGAGTTGTTTTTCATTTCAGCTAAAGCCTGCTGAGATTCTAGGGGATGAGGGAGGCTCCATTCCTTAGCAAACAGCACTCAAGGAGCCAAAGGAGAAGTAGGCAGAACAAAATGCAAAGGGGGAGGAAGGAGGGGCTCCGTATCTGGCTTTCCTGGGTGTGGGACAGGGTCTCCAGGCAGTTTAAGATGTGGGGGGGGAGGGGAGGTCAAGGTTAGCGCCAGGCAGTGGAGGTGGGCAGAGCCGGAGCAAGGACTGGCTCTGCCACTCACGTGAGGATCGATTGAGCGCCCCCTGCACTCACTGAGCTCTACGACTTGCTGAGGGTTTATTGAGCATCTACTATACATCATATTTAGGACTGGCTGCGAAGTGAAAATGCAAGGCCCCTTGCCCAAAAATTATCAAGAATTTCAAGATGACAACAGCAGAGCATTAAGCCAAGCGCAGGCCCCTCGAAGCACAGGGTCCTTACACGTTCCCCTCCCAACTTCGCGCCTGTTCGGTTTCCCAGGGGAACAAGGAAGGCTGTGCTGTAACCAGACCTCCAGGGAACCCGGGACTCCTGGGACTCTGTCCCTGCCCCTGCGGGGCACGCGGCCTTGACTCGGGGACAAAAAGGACGTGGGTTTAAGGGAGGGATCTTCAGCTCCGATCCCTCCCTGCCAATAGGGAGCTGAGACCTCCAGTGGGAGCCTTCCCTCTGGAGGCCCGAGGTTCCCCATCTGGAAAAGAGACAAGCTGCGTGAAGTCCCCTGTCTTCTCTGTGTCGCCCAGAGCGCTTGGCGTAGAGTAGGGCCTCGAGAAGGAAGTGGCTGAACAGCTGGGTGATGTCCTCTGTGATCTCTGTGTTCCAGGAGCGCCACACTTCGGCCATGACCGACACCGTGTTCAGCAGCAGCTCTAGCCGCTGGGTGTGTCCCAGCGACCGACCCCTTCAATCCAGGTCAGTCGCTGCGTCTTCCTGGGAGTGGCTTGTTTGGGCTCAGCGAGGTCCTGGGAAGTTTACCCTTGAAGGAGGAAAGGAATATTACGGAAAGAACTAGAATTGTTTTAGTTTTTAATTTTATTGATTTTTTTTTTAGAGAGAAAGAGGAAGGGAAAGGAGGGAACTCTATTGGTTTCTTTTTGCAGAGGAAGCACCTCCTCTCCCAAGCCCTTCCCATGATATCCCCTTGGGGCCAAACTTATTTTGCAGAAAATATTCCATCCACCACAAAGTGTGTCTCTGGAAGATAAACAGTTGCCCGAAGGGTGAATGGGGTAAAATATTTCTGTTATTTTTGAAACATCAGTTAATTAAAATCCCATCCATCGGAGAGTTTCCTTCGGTCTCGATACAAAGCCAAACAATTTGCTTTACGATTTAATCAGCAGCATCCCAGCAGCCTGCGTGCGGTGTTGACCGTGCTCCCGGGCTGCGGGGAGACTCTGGGCAACTCTTGGTGCATCTGGCCCGCCCGCTCGCTCCGCGGGTTCTGCAGATGCTGGGATTGGTGTCCCGAGGCGCTGACGGCCGAGCTGCGGGCATCACGCGTGCTGGCCGCTCGGGGCAGCGGTGCCCTGCGAGTGCAGGTGCTGTCACGGCGCCCGGCAAGTGGAGGCATCTGGTCACTAGCCGCTGGCCCGCCAGGCCCCTCGCCCTGTGCGACTCCTGAGCCCTTGAGCCTGACAGCGCCGTTGGAAAGAGGCAAATGCGCAAGGGTCTTGCGAGGGTCGGGCAGTGGTTTAGCTCCTTTTGGCGTCGTTGTTACTCCCCCCTGAGGATATTTTTTCCATTGATTTTTAGAGAGAATGGAAGGGAGAGAGAGAGAGAAACATGGACGTGAGAGAGACACATGGATCGGTTGCCTCCCTCACGTGCCCTGACCGGGGCCGGGGATCGAACCTGCAACCCAGGTACGTGCCCTTGACCGGGAATCGAACCCGTGACCCTTTGGTGTGCAGGCCGATGCTCTCACCACTGAGCCACACCAGCCAGGGCGGTTTAGCTCTTCATGTTGGGAAAACGTGGGGAGAAATGCTGGGAAGTTGACGCTGTTCTATAGCTTTGAAGTCTGCCAGCAAGAGAGCGCCAGAGACAGGAGGTGGAAACGGAGACATCGGTAGGCGCGTGTCTAGGCTCACACACGTGATACACGGGGACACTGGTCTCCTTCCTAGAATGGAGCTTGGCTCCCCCAAACTGGGCCACTGAAAGTTCTACTTTTGGGAGACCCAGTTACTGTTCAGGGCACACGGCCCTCCTCCAAGTGTTGGACACCACAAACTCCAAGAGTGATGTTGGCCATGTTATCATTAAGTGACTTCTCTTTAGGGCCCCAAGCCCATTATTTAAATAATATAAATGATCAGCTCAGCTCATTAATAAGCTGAACCGATTGGTCATTTTAATCACAGCTGTGGGTTTTATAAGCCTGCATTGCAGGAGCCTTGTTTTAGATGTGCCCAAATAAGATTGTAGTGGCCAGGGGGAAAATGGAAGTAGGTCATTGTCATTTAAACCGTGTGGTTTTGCATCTGACTTTATTTTTTCTTTCTCTCCTTTCTCTGCCTTCCTCCAGTGATAAAGAACAGTGAGTATTTTATGCTACTAGTTTGTTTTTCGACCAACTGATTTGTATCTCTTTTCTGGTCAAAGTGGGTTGCTGATGCAGAGAGATGGTTGAAACAGGAACTAGCACATTTTACATATCTAAAAAAATTTCTAAGTGACTAAAAAAACACACCCCTTGGCCTGGCCAGTGTGGCTAAATGGTTGAGCTTCAACCCATGAACCAAGAGGTCACGGTTCGATTCCCGGTCAGGGCACATGCCCGGGTTTCAGGCTCGATCAACATGCAGGAGGCAGCTGATCAATGGCTCTCCCGTCATTGATGTTTCTCTCTCTCCCTCTCCCTTCTTCTCTCCGAAATCAATAAAAACACACCCTTTTGAGAGAAGAAAATCTTGATGACAGGATGGGAGGCATTCCCTAGGCGAGCCCCCAGTTTCATTCTTGTGGGATTTCAGCCGGTTTCGGGACCACTCGGTGCCCGTTCACGCGGCCTTTTGCCTTGGAGTGCTGTTCTGAAATGAATAAAATGTTAACTCAAATAACTGCTTCCATTAAAAAAAGACAGAACAGGGCTTGGGGGAAGTTACGTGCTACACATATTGTCCCTGTCCCCTCACGGGAGGTCAGACTGATCTTCCTTGGCTNGACAAACAGAACAGGGCTTGGGGGAAGTTACGTGCTACACATATTGTCCCTGGCCCCTCACGGGAGGTCAGACTGATCTTCCTTGGCTCCGAGGTCCTAGCTCTGCTCACAACTTTTGCCTTTTAAATTGGATTCATTTCCCAAATAGGCGTGACCGACAGGACGCTGGGCCCAGTAAGTGAACGGTGAGGCGGCTTAGCAGCCGGGCTCTGGTGGTCGGTGCGCGCTTGGAAGCCACGGGGAGCCGCCTTACCCCCCACGAAGGGGGTGTTAGCACAGAGCCGCAGGCGGGGCGCGGGCCTGGCTCGGGAGCCCCGGCTGAGTCCTGCGCTGGGACTCAGTGTCGCGTGGCGGAGCCCTGGCTGTCCCTTATTAAACAGGCATGATAACCCCCCCCACCAGGTGGCGGTGGGGCCACAGGAGCGCTTCGTGAACTGTGAAGCTCAGCGTCGCCTTACTCTGTATGTGTATGTAGGTTGTACATACATATGTACATACATAATATGTGTGCCCTGTATATATACATTGTGTGTGTCTCTTTGTGTGTGTGTGTGTATATATATATATATATGTACACACACACAATATATACACAATATATATATACACACACACAATGTATGTATGTGTATGTATGTCACTTGCATCATTTGTTCAGCTTCTTTGGACCCAAATGACCACGTCATGGGGCCCAGAATCCCTCTAAATGTCTTCTTAATGTCGGTAAGGTGACCCCGGGAAATGGTTTCCCCCTTGCTGTGTCTTGGTTTCTCCATCTGTCAAATGGGAGCTTTGCACAAGCTGATGGCTAAAGGCCATTTGAATGTCCTACAGTTTCTGTTGCTGGTGGTGAGGCCCTGGCCCAACTAGATCTGCTTTTCGTGAGTGTATTACTCAGACATGCCAGGGAGAGGTGCTGAGACCTTGTCAGGTTATAAATATGAACGTCGCAAGAGAGAAGCTCCTGACTCCAGGGGGTTGAAGGCTCGTAGAGGCTTCCTGGGTACTGAGAGTGGACAGGTAGAGTGTATATCCACCCTCCTTCCCTCCTTCCCCCCTCCCTCC